GTGATCTCTGTCGGGTAAATAAATAAAATCTTTAAAAAAACAAAAAACAAAAAACTGCGAATCTCCAATAGTTTCACTATAAACAGTAAAATCTTCTTTAGGGAGAGGACAGACTTTTAATTAAAGAAAGAAAAATACTTTTATTCTGAAGGTGAATTTAGGAGACTGTGTGAAGAAAGGCTTAGCAGAGGGTGGGTATGTGAGCCTGAGCATTTACAGAAGGCTCCTGGGGTGCTGGACCCCAAACTGTTGGGAGTATCTTGAAAGATATAGAGAAAAGGTTTTAAAAAAATGGCACCAGGAAGATACCTATGGGGAAAGAAATGGAGAGTCCTAAACATTCAGGGATTTGCCAAAAGGCTGCTGGTTGGTTTTTGTTGGTTTTGAGTTACAATCAAGCTCTAGTTTAGTTATCTCTGCATTGGAGATGACCAATCAATGGCTATTTGGGATTAGTCAAAGTAAAACACTGATTATTTTGTGTTTTACATTAACAAAACCCATAAAGAAATACTTTTTTGCTTTTTTAACCCAAATGTCAGCTTTGGACTCTCTGCACCTTAATTGAGTTATGACTGATTATTACACTCCCAATGCAAGATCCTTCCCAAGATCATTCAGAATTCCCCGGTAGCTAATTTTTCAAGGTTGCCTCTGTTCTTGTTTTTTCTCTAGCTCAGTGATGTATTAAGATTATTTTACAAACAGATATTTTGTCCACCATGTTTAGGTATTCAATATCAGGAGGCATTTTTCTGGTCCTCTATTCCAAGAGTTGGCAGGCAGATTTCTTCCTAACATCTATTCTTTTGTGTCTTGATAAGTCATTCAGATGTTCTCCCTTCTCCATGTAGTCTCTGTGCCTCAGGAGAAGATGGTCTTACCCCAGCCCCAGGGAAAGACTTATTGATCTAAGTGTCTGTTATCCTCTGTCCAACGGTTAGCTTAGATCTGGAGTTTCTGACTAATTCAGTAGATGGCATACCTCATGCCACAGGGGTTGGTCCAGAAATGGACATGTAACCTAACCCAGGCAGATGACATGTAAGGGGAAATTTGTTGAGGGTTTCCAAAAAAGAGGTTTCATCCATTCTCAGAGAGAGCTTCAGGGAGTCAGCCTCTATTTATCTAGTGGCTGCAATAATCTTATCAAAACAAAACAAAACAAAAAGCCAACCATCTTATCGTAACTGGGAGGAAGCCAGAACAAAATGGCAGAGCCAAGGATTCATGGACCAGTGCAGCCACCGCTCCAGGCAACAGCTCATCACCACACTCTTGGAGTTTTCCACTGTGCAATCAGCATGTTATCCTTTGTCTTGAAAGCCAGTTTCAATCGAGTTTTTTTGTTTTGTTTTTCCCAAAGGAAAGTCACCTAACTAACACAATTGTCTGTAGTCTTCCCGGATCTGGTCTCAGGATCCCTTTCTAGTTCTTAAAAACTCAATTGTTTGGGGCCAAGGAAGTCACCCACAGGTTTGCAAATACACCAAACCTGTCACCTGTTTACAAGTGTGGTTTCTTTCTGCTCAGACTGCCCTTTGGTCTCCTCTCCCAGGTGAACTCGTGCTGCACTTCAAGCATGTTTTACGGGACTATCTCTGTCACTTTTTTTTTTTTTTTTTAAATCTCATTTTTATCTTCGTATCCTCAGTGCCCAGCATACATTTGACACCCAAGTAAGCACTTCAGTAAGTGTGGGATTGGTAGAAATGATGGGCTGAAAGGAAATCTGGAGCACGGTATGCTCTTCCTACACAGCACCCTCGATCATCTAGATGGATGCTGTCTGAAACCCTCTGCGATGACAGGAGTGTTCTGTACCTGCCCTGTGCACTGAGGCAGCCAGCAGCATGTGGGGGCCACTGAGCCCGGGAATACGGCTGGTGTGCCTGAAAAACCGCATTTTCAAGTTCATTATTATCATTCGTTGCATTTAAATAACCACATGCTCTAAGGAAGAAAAGTAAGATAATCTGGAAAGTTTTCTGTTTGTTTTGTTAACCATTCCAAAGTCCTCCGATCACATGGTTTCAAAACATAATCTGAAGGTCTGTCTGTATTTTGAATATTTAGGTTCACGAGGATTTTGAGCAGTAATACCTTGTGTATCACAGAGAGTCAGAAACTAAGGACTGTGCTACCCTGATCCCCAACCAGCTTCATGGGCAGCGATCAGCACCGTGTCTCCACGGTCCCAGGCCAGCATTCATGATTTGTGCAGTGGAAGATTTTCAGTTTTGGAGGACCCCGAAATAAGGCACATCCTTTTTTTCTTCCCATGGAATATCTTTTTGTAGATATCAAGTTCCATATTGTGCCAAGATAGCGGGTATTTGTCTAACCAAAGACTAGATAGGCTCTAGACAGAATCTGCTTTTTTTAGCAAAAAACCTTTCTGTTACAAATGACAACACGGAATGGAGGTTGATGTTGCCTTAAAAAGTCATCAGACATAGTGTGCAACCTTCTCAAAATTCTTTAGGTGTCCAAGGCACTCAAGGAATAAAAGTACTAGAAAAAAGGGAAAAAAAAGAACCCACAAAAGGGCCACGCAGACATGGTATTTAACCACAGATATTAAGTTTTTCAGCCATATAAGGTACAACAGATTTCCTTCCTCCCATAATTCTTTCAGGGAAAATTTACAGAGAAAAGAAATCTATAGAATAAACTCTGATTAGCCTAACAGTAAAATGTGAGGCTACAGGAGATTGCAGTTAAAGCCAGACCACACCTAATGACATCAGATTTGGATGTGAATCCAGAAAGACTTGAGTGGGTGGAGAGAGAGAAAGAGAGAGAGAGAGGTGGATAGACAAGACAGACACTCCTGAGTGAGCAAGGTAGTAGGACCCCATTTTACAAGTAATGAAACTAAGCCTCAGTAAAGTATGTGTCTTGCCTCTGGTCCCACAGCTAATAACGGGTCTGGCTGAGATTCAAACCCAGATCAGTCTGCCTTGAAGCCCACACTCTGTAGGGACCATCCGATAATGACTGTTCCCGGAAGATACGGATACTGCTGATCTGGAGACTGCAGATTGAGAACCACTATTTACAAAGGTCAATAGCAAGAGTGGAAACAGGTGTAGAGATTTCCCAAGCCAGCCTTACGGAGAAGTTATAATAGTTAAGACTTCCAAAACAAAAGCAATGTTGCTATGTCATTGAAAAGAACAGTAGGTAAAGCTTGTGCTGACCACAAGACTCCCTGCCACAATTTTATCTAGAAATCTATAAGTTGTCTACAAAGCTAAACACATCTGCTCTGTGATAAAAACAAAATCTGTTAGCGATACGCAACGGAGTGAAGCTGTCCGAAGAGGGATCTGAGAGTTTATTCTAGATTTCGGCTTGGTGCCACTTAGCCTTTTGGTCTTATTAAGAGCTACTAGTTACCATGTGGGGTTACCCTGCTAGCATAGGGTAGAAGCAAGCGTACTGGTTCAGGGGCCAATCTAAAGTCTGCCACACTCATTTATGAGCTGGGTGACCTCTGGAAGTTAACACTTCAGGTCTTGCTCTTTCCATCTATAAAATGAAAACTGAGGATACGAATCATTCTTTCTTCACAAGGCTGTTGCAAAAGTCAACGAGGTAAGGCACAAAAAAGCCGCTGAATAGGGTCTGCATGTCCTGAGCACTCCACAGCACTCAGCTACTGTTATTTTCCCACTGCGGTGTCAGGCCACGTGACACAGGACAAGCTTTCCCAATTCTCTTGCTGATCGCTTGTACCCAAATTGCATCCAGGTGCCTGCAGGTAGATGTGGTCAGTGGGGCTGCTGGGTGTCCATAGTGTGCTGGGCTAGCAGATACAGCTCTGTTAGATGGGAGCCTTTCTACACACGGGAAAGGAGACTTCGTAAAAAAACAAAAACAAAAACAACCAACCAAAAAAACCTTATTTAAATTTTCCTTTTGTCAACCCTAAATGCCCAAGTATATTCCATACAGAACTCTAAACCAGACATGTGTCTTTTTTTACTCAGCTCCCGTGGCAATCCTGGGAGGTCTCTGTGGTTGTTCCTATGTCGAACACTGCAAACTGGAACATATAAGGTAAAGTGGCAGTGAATTGAGAAGCCAGAATTTGAGCTCAGACATGCTTGAGACCAAAGCCAATACTACCTTCAAATTTGTAAAACATGGGAGGATATGCATAATCCTTTTTTAAGGAGTGAGAGGGTTTGATACCCAAATGGTCATCTATACATATATTTCATTTTACATGTCTTCCCCTTAAAGGAACCTATAGCAACAGAAATACCAAGCTACCCAGATCAAGTGTAGAACACCTAAACCTTGTGGAGTTTGGGCAACAGGAAGTATTATCACATGGCTACTTACTAATTGTATCTTGTATACTAATTGTATCAGATAGAAAAGAACAGAATATCCAAAAATGGGGGGGTGGTGCTGGAACTACCTTGAATTTAGAAGAAAGGTCGGGGCACCTGTGTGGCTCAGTCAGTCAGGTGTCTGCCTTCGGCTCAAGTCATTGTCCCCGTGTCCTGGGACCAAGCCCTGCACTATGCTCTTTGCTTAGCGGGGAGTCTGCCTCTCCCTCTGCCCCTGCTTGGGCGAGCACCCTCTCTCAAAGAAAGAAGTAAATCTTTTAAAAGAGAAGAAGAAGAGGAAGAAGGAGAAGGAGAAGAAGAAGGAAGAGGAGGAGGAGAAAGGTTGGAAAAGGTTCCATTGAACGGTGATAGATCTTGAGCCTGAAGAGTCCACTCTGGGGGTTTTAGCATTTTGATTCTTCCTCAGTAATTTCCAGAACACAGAGTATCTGCTCACCTGCCCTGGACAGGGCCTAGGCACTCCTCCTTCTTTTTACAGGACAAAATCACAGATTGCTATGAGCTGTGGGTTGCCATCTTGTCCTGTCTCCTCTCCTCTACCTGCCCAGGCATCCTGGCCCCCACCTGCAGGTCTGTGGCAGTCAGGAAACATTATAGTGAGTCATTCTGTCCCAAGGCTCTTCCCCTATGGCATACCTGACTATTTAGGATCTGGAAAACCCTCTGCTGCGTTGTCTGGCCAGCCTTGGGTCTCACAAGGATGTAAATGACTTTCAGGTCGGGACTGGTGCGAAATAGCTTCTCCATCAACACTTTGCCCATGAAGCCTGTGGCCCCAGTAATGAGAATGGACTTGCCACTATAGAAAGCTGCAATCATGGACATGATTCTTCTCTTGGTCTTTTATAGCTCTGGAAAGAGGTTCCTGAAAAGGAAGAGGAATAACAAAACATTACATTCTCAGAAGTTCTAAAATGCAGTCAATTTTAAAATGTTTCTGGCACTTCCAGGAGTTCTGGATGCAGAAAAAGGTCAGAGTGAGAGCATCATGCTTTATTGACAACACGATTCATTTCAATCAATATTTACTGAGCCCGCTTTGCATGCCAGATTTTATGCCAGCAATTGCAGGCGAAAAAAAAAAAAAAAAGAAAAAGAAAGAAAAAGAAAAAAATAATAAGACATGGTTCCTGCTCTCAAGAGATTGCTCATAGACTAACAGTGGGGACAGACGTCTAAATAGATCACCGAATATAATACGTGAGTGCTAAAACAAAGGGATTGCAGACGCAGGGTGGACAGCAGGATTTAGAAATTTCAGAAAGGGCCACCCGTCTGCCCAGATGGGTGAAGGTGAGGTAAACTGTGAAGGGAGGGCAGGGGCGGTGGGGGAAGGTGTTTCCAGCCCAGAGAGCAAGAGCAAAGGTGCAAGGTGTGGCAGGTCATGTTGCCTGGAGGAAACAGAAGGAAGTCAGTGAGATGAGAACATCAGTGATAAGGCTAGGAGTGGCCCCATAACCCAAGAAAACAAAGTTTAGAACAGCCACCACATTCTTTTTCAATTATGATATAATTAGTATTTCAGTTGCAGTTTCCTTTAGAAAAAATATTGGAGCAAATAACTTCTGGTTTCACTTGAATTCACAGGCCCTGGCCTACCCAGCCATTTCCGAGTAAATACATTTTTCTCTTCCTTGGGCTGAAAAGGGGTCTAGGGCCACCCTTTTTCCCCATGCGTTCCTCTCAGGGCTGAAACACTGCAAAAGACAAAGGAAAGAGAAAGTTGAACAAGCGAGGCCAGGACCGGAGGCTTTGTTAAGCTCCAAAATACCACCGGGTGACTGTAGGGGCTCTGTCCATTTAAGGCCGTTGCCAGGAGCAGAGAGAAAGAGCAGATCTGGGAGTGGGAAGCCAGGTGCGGCCTTTAGGTCCTGGGCCTCCCAGAAAAGTCACCACGTGCTATTGACATGCCACGTTAAATGTCTGTCTCTAAGCTTGGGTTCAGAATGGTCCATGGGAAGCCGCGGTGGAGAGCTTTGAATGAAACAGTGCAGTGGGCTGGGTGCAGACTTCCTTTCTGTCATAATAGGTCCCCTGAGACTGCTGGATGGCGGTGGGTAGATTGTGCAGAACACAACTCCAGGGACCGGCACTGACATCAGAGCTCACGAAGAAGAAGAAGAAGAAAAAAAAAACTATGAGAGTTAGCACCCTGCCTGGTCATCTCCAGTGAAGTTTCCCCTGCCAGTAACTCCTTAGAACTCCTTATCTCCTCAACAGTCATAATTTACAGATCGTAAAATAGTCATAATTTAGACCGTAAGGATCTTGAGGCTGGTCTTGGGCAGAACTCTTTGCCTTTGAAGGATTCATTCACCCATGAATTTACTCAACAAATAATTTTGAGTACCTGCCCTGACAGACTGTGCTGAGTTCTGAAGATAAGCAGACAAATGAGGCAAACAGATCTTTGTGCTCCCCTCGCAGAAGAGGCCGGCAATACAAAGGTTGGTAAGTATGTAAACGAGATGACAGACTGTACAGATGCAAATAAAATAAGGATCAATGACAGAAATCACATCCAATCATCAACCCTATTCAGTTTAGGAAATCTGGATTTCAAATCATGTTAGTTATATCCACTGAGTTACTATTTAAACCCTTTTATTGGGGCGGCTGTGTGGTTAAGTCGATTTAGCATCTGACTCTTGTTTCAGCTCAGGTCATGATCTCAGGGTTGTGAGATGGAGCCCCATGTTGGGCTCCAGGCTCAGTGGAGAGACTGCTCCAAGAGTCTCTCCCTCCACCCCTCCCCCCACCTATGTGCGCTCTCTCTCACTCTAAAGTAAATAAATCTTTAAAAAAAAACCCTTTATTGAGGTTGATGTGAAAAATCTTACTTTGAAGAACACATTTGGATCTTGTGCAAAACAGCAACTAATCATAGTTTTTTTTTTTTTTCACCATGTTGCAAAATGTTACTCATATTGCAACCCAATCACTTTCTAAAGATTTTATCCCTTGGGAAAAGTACTGAAGAGTCTTGCCTTGCCTGCCTGGAAGCTCAGAAAAGTGTGGAAGGCAGTTCGACATCCTAGTTGAGCACACAGGTTCTAAGCAAGACTATCTGAAATCCAATCCAAGTTCCGCCACTTATTAGCACTGTGACCTCAGGCACATTATTATTCTCTCTGTGCTGTAGCTTGCTCATTAGTAAATGCGGATAACAAAAGTATCCACATAATAATGCTGTGGTAAGAATTATACGACTCCGTATATTACTTAAAACTCTTAGTAATCAACACAGTATTTGACTGGCACAAAAAATACACACATAGGTCAAGAGAGTAGATCAGAGAGCCCAGAAATAAACCACGCTTATATGACCAATTAATCTACAATAAAGGAGGCAAGAGCATACAATGAGGAAAAGACACTCTACTGATTAAGTGGTGTTGGGAAAACTGGACAGCTACATGCCAAAGAATGAAACTGGACCACTTTCTTACACCATACACAAAAATAAACTCAACATGGATTAAAGACCTAAATCTGAGACCTGAAACCATTAACTCCTAGAAGAAAACACTGGTGATAATGTCTTTGCCATCAGCCACTGAAACATTTTTCTAGATGTATCTCCTCAGACAAGGGAAACAAATGCAAAAATAAACTATTGAAACCACACCAAAATTAAAAGCTTTTGCACAGCAAAGGAAACCATCAAAACAAAACAACAAAGCAGCCTACTAAATGGGAGAAGATATTTGCAAATGATATATCCAGTAAGAGATTAATATCCAAAATATAGAGAGAGAACTCATACTAGTAAACACTAAAAAAATGCCAAATAATCTGAATAAAAATGCGCCAAGGATCTGAATAGACATTTTTCCAAAGAGGACATATAAATGTCTAACAGACATATGAAAAGATGCTCAACATCACTCATCATCAGGGAAATGCAAATCAAAACCACAGTGAGTTTTCACCTTAACACTTGTCAGAATGGGTAGAATCAAAAAGACAAAAAATAACAAGAGTTGGTGAGTTTATGGAAAATGGAACTCTTGTACACTTCTGGTGGGAATGCAATTTGGTGCCACTCCTGTGGAAAACAGTATAAAGATTTCTCAGAAAATCAAAAATGGAATTACCATATGATCCAGCAATTCCACTACTAGGTATTTACACAAAGAAAACAAAAACACTCATTTGTAAAGATATATGTACCCCTATGTTTATTGAAACATTTTTATAATAGCCAAGATATGGAAGTAACCTAAGTGTCCATCAGTAGGTGGATGGATAAAGAAGATGTGGCATATGGAATATTACTCAGATATAAAAAAAAGAATGAAATCTTGCCATTTGCAACAATATGGATGGGTCTAGAAGGTATAATGCTAAGTGAAATAAGTCAGACAAAGCCAAATACTATATGATTTCACTCATATATGGAATTTAGAAACAAAGCAAACAAAGAAAAAAGAGACAATCAAAAAAACCTGACTCTTAAATACAGAAAACAAACTGATGGTTGCAGGAGGGCAGGTGGGTGGGGGGATGGGCAAAATAGATAAAGGGGATTGAGGGTACGCTTATCATGATAAGCACTGAGCAACGTAAGAGTTGCATCTGAAACTAACAGAACACTGTATGTTAATCATTTATCAATTAAAAAAGAAAACTCTTAGAAATATTTGTTACCCATACTATATACTCAATAAGTATTGGCTGTTAATATAGTCACTGGTTATACATTTTTCCTCTTAATAGTTCCTGGTTTTTCCTTTTGACATTTAAGTGCTCTGTCTTATGCATTTTATACACCCTCTTTTGGAAATAGGAGGTGATTTACAACTCAGTCATCACGCCAAGTAAACTGCTTTCCCCAAATGCAACTCTACTTGATGATGAACCTTGCCAGTTCCTTTTCCAGTACCATACTCCTTTAGTATGTTAGGTATAAATAAGCATGGTTGGCAGGAAAATACAGAAGAGAAACTGAGTTTGGATAAGGTTATTTCCCAACCTCACTTGTTCTAAAGATGTCAGATGCTTGTTTTGCACTCTTTTTTTATTTTCTTCAAAGATTTTACCCATTTGACATAGAGAGAGACAGTGAGAGAGGGAACACAAGCAGGGGAAGTGGGAGAGGGACAAGCAGGCCTCCCACAGAGCAGGGAGCCGGATGCGGGCGATTCTAGGACCCTGGGATCATGACCCAAGCTGAAGGCAGAGGCTTAACTGACTGAGCTGCCCAGGCACCCCTTGTTTTGCACTCTCCTATGCTTTAGTGGAGTCATATTTTCTAGAATGCAAACATAATGTTCAGATATTTTGATCCCAGGTACAGTTTTGTAACCTGTGATAAAAAATTTTAGGAAGCAGGTAATGGATTTCTAATGAGCCCATTTCTCGTGGGATGAAGGAAGACTTGATGTGTCCTCAAAGAATTGAATTTGCCTGCTCAGTGGGGAGTCCAGATACTTCTCAAGCAAAACCAAGCCATGGCAGAGTACACTGAGTTCTCGGATAGGAAAACAAAACAAACCAGCATTTTGTGGCCCTCATTATCTGGCTATCAGGAGCAGGTGGCAGAAGAGTGTGGCCAAGGCTCTAAGCAAGGCAAGTGATTCTGAAAAATGTCTGAGAATTCCTCATCCTCAGATCAAAGCTGTATCAGAGATGTTTCTTCTACTTCTTGCCTCCACTCTCCACAGATGGCTTAGTTCCTGGACGCAGAAACTCTTATATAAAATTTGGCTTCCTGGGTGCCTGTGTGACTCAGTTGGTTAAGGGTCTGCCTTCAGCTCAGGTCATGATCCCAGGGTCCTGGGATCGAGTCCCTCATTGAGTTCTCTGTTCAGCAGGCAGTCGCTCTCTCACTCTCTGTCAAATAAATAAACAAACTTTAAAAAT